TTTGCCCGGGTCTGGGGGGGTGCCGGGGGCGTGTTTTAAAAAAGAGCCCGGGAAGAGGAAAACCTTTTCGGGGGCGGGATCAGGGGGGGGGGGCAGGGGGTGCGCCCCCCCCCCCCCCTGAGATGACCTGCGATTTTCTAATACAACTGGTATCCTGCCAAAAAAAAAAACTATGTGGTTTATTGGCGTTGAAGTAGAGCCAGAGACGAGTGCACCCCCTCCTAAAAAAAATCCTGGATCCGCCCCTGCTTTATAGATTTCAAGATTACCCTGCGCCACAGACGAAACTGAATTCTTGTGTAAAGCTATGAAAAATTCTGATATTTGGGATCAGGGTTTTTGCATGATCTTAAATCATTTTTGTTCTTTAAAAATCTCACCATGAACTATAATTTGTATTAAATCAAGCCAAGGTTACGGTCACTTTCAGGCAAAGGTTTTAAATCGAACTTGATGACCAAGTTCAATTTTGAAAACTTACAACCTCTTTTTTTCTGCAGACTCTGTCATGGCTGAAAAACCAGATTTCTTTTATGAAGACTTCGCAAATGGAGCAACTGTCATCGGAAACTGGCAGGGAAAGGTAAAGGTTTCTTTAACGGCTACGATAAACTAAACCATTAGAGATATTTATAATCACATTTGCGGCAAACGGCAAATGTATTTGTACCACGTAACCAAGTTTTCCCGTTACCTGTTTTTAACTGTTCTTTCCTTCTACAAAAAAAATTTCAGTTTCACGTACATGATTTCATCTATAAGAATTGCTTTGGGCTGTTTTTATCAGCTTTTTTTCTATTTTTAGAAATTCTTAACTTGAATCTACCGTTTTCCGTTTGCAGAAACCTTTACTATCTCTCTATTGTTGTCTTTCTTACCATAGTCGTTTTTTTCTGTTTAGCATACTTTCGATACAGGTAGCTATTTTAACTAACTTTGAAATCTTGGATTCTTATCATAACTTATATTTGTTATCCAAAACACTGGGCCTCACTTAACCCACGGTTAAGCCAAATTTTAAGCCAAATTTTCTTTTCAGGTAACCTGAACTCCTAAAATATTGTTGGGACTACACCCTGAAGTGTGGTTTCAAACTTTTTACAAGTAGAGATAATTACTGAAAAAAGCAGGATATAAAAGCACTAACTTGATGAGCATTCACTTATTTCTAGCCAATCATTGTAATTAGACTAATTAGCATCAATTATAGTTTATTTTCTTCTTTTCTTCAAACCTTTATTGGTGTTCTTTGCTGCTCTTACGACAGAATTATATCATCAAGATGCAAATTAAAACCCTGAAACTTGACTTAAAAGTGGTTGTTCGAGAGACTGGCTCTTGGGTTGTACGTTTTATATTTTAATCTTAACTTGACCCTTATCTTGATTTCCAGGAAATTACCTTTATCCTTATTTTTGGTTAAGTTTTGGGTTCTTTCTAGCGTTTTTATCGAATTTATAAGTTTATGCTTTTTTCTTCCATTTTCTTTTTTTTTTTTTTACAATAATGGTATAGAATATTTCCCAATTCACGGGTGTTGTTTAAGGTATATGTAAATATCTGTTGTTGTAATTTCTGCTCTCTACCGCGAACTGCATTTTTAATTTGTCCTCTCAGTTTCCAGTCACGTCCCATAATTATAGTCTTCCGAACTAATTGGTCCATTTCATAAAAAAAAAATTGCTAGGGTGCCACAAATGATTGAAGCCGTAACGTACCACATTCAACAACACTTAACATACAATATCCCCTGTATGAACATCGCCAGACAGTGAGTCAACGAGAACAACAAATTTCTGACATACCTCGAGCCTTCTTCAACACAAAACCCGGGGGATGGACGCCAAAAACCCGCTGTTGTAAAGTGTCATACAAAGGTGTTCTGCTTTGCATTTTTTAACGTGCCAGGAGAGAACAGGCTTTTCTGAACACGACAACAGCGGATACAGACAAATCACCCAATAATGTGGTTGGAAGGCAAGGCGCATGCGTTTATTTTGTTACTCCACTAATGTAACACTAATGTAACGACGCCTATGGGTCAGGTTCCTTATCAATGATAGTTTAGGCCAAATTTTAAGCAAAGTTTTCTAGCCTAGGAACAAACAACTAGAGCTTTTGAAATAATTATTTCCCTTGATTTTTTTTGGACAGTCAAGTTTTCTAATGATGGACACTTTAGTGGCTGCCTTAATAAAGTGTCGTATGAGTGAGTTGTCTGTAAATAGACTTTTTGATGACTTGCAGTTGGGCTCCTGAACATATTTTTAAATGTTACAGTAATGAAACGAGCTATTTTATACAAACTGATTTTAGTTTCATTTAGTTTTTAACGTAATTCAGCATTTGGGAAACTTAACTATAAATTTCGGGCGACATAACTGCAGGCGAGATGACTTTCGTGCGCCTTGTGTTTGTTTCTTTTGCTCTTGTTCAAAGGACGCATTGCAATGCCCCAAGGTCATGGAAACACGGGGAAGAAAACTAAAAAGACCACAAGTAAAAACAAGGCGAAAGAAAACCAAACCTAGGGGAAGGGTGGGGAGGGGGCCACTTAACCGTAAAGCCTTACTCGTTCCCAGTCATTTGTATTTGAATCGCACGCCACGCGTGCCACGCTCTTCCCTTGACCGCGCTTCTCTCGTTGAAATATAATAATAGACTGAGAGACAACTGGGGACGAGTCAGCCGTAAAGCGTAAACCATACTGCAATAGGAAGGCGAAGGAAGAAGACAGAAAGCCTTGTGTCTGTAGTCCTAAAATTATTATTTGATATTTTTTTCCGCTAAACTTCACCTTCCTTTGTAAAAACTGATCTTTTTGCAAAAGACTAGAACACAGAAATGTAAAGCAATGATCACGACAAAACTCGTAACTTGCTTGTTTGCATTAATTTCTTGCTGGTGAGCCCCGCCTCAAGGCAGGGCGATGAAAAATTAGTTTACAGACTCATTCAGTTGTTCTCCTCCACGGAAATCTTTAGTAAAAGGCGAAAGATTTGTTCGTGATGAAGGAAAACCAGAGATGACGTAAATTGAAAGTCAACAGTACTATGTTGAACGTGACACGTAGAGCCTTGTGGGCAGATTATAAATATTATTTACATGAAACGCATGCGCAATGAACAAACTCAGAAACCAAAACCAAGAGCGCTTGTATCAAATGTTAGAGTGCTAAATACATAAAAAGATGAATGATAAACAACAGCAAAAATAAAACTCAAGAATAAATAAGTCAAACATACTACTTGCGCGCGCATAAATCGCGCCCAGCTGACTTTGTTAAACTCTGATTATGACGTCATACAATCATTTGGAACTTCTCTTCGAAGCAAACAGACGTGCGCTTTGTGTGAAAAGAAAATAAGTTTCGTTGTAATCATGAGGATTATATTTTTGCTTACTGCGCTGGTGGGCTTACTTCTGCTTTCAATTACGCTTAACGTAGTGCGTGAAGGTAAGATCTTCAGGCATCTTAATAAGAGATTGGAAGGCTTGTTTTTTTCGAGCACCAAAAAATTTTTTACCGGAAGTTTGCAGCATAATTTTTATTACTAAAATCAAACGTGTACCTCATTTTTTCACCCAACTCTATATTGTGTGGAGAATTTTATGCGCCATTTATCTTTCGTATACTGAGTAATCCTTCCTCCTTGAAAGGTAGCACTTCACACTTTTTTTTAAAATCATGTTTTGCGAAAGACAAGCTTTATTTCAGTTTCCATGGTACCACGAATGTTGCACGTGCGCATTACTCCTTGCATTAGCTCGCGCTTCGACGGTTGCTGGTGACGTGTTTAACAAATAATCCCGGACGAAGATAACACTTTGCAGGGGCGGATCTAGGGGGAGGGTGCAGGGGGTGCGCACCCCCCCCCCCCCC